GACAGTAATAAAGTGAATGGGGTGATGGGGATTTTTTTGTCTACCCCCCCCCCCCCCCCCCCCCCCAAACTTTTTTGCCACTGCCGGTGTCACCTTTACGTACCAATATTTGGCTCGCATAATTTCAAATTTGCCCCCCCCCCCCCCTTAAAAAATCCTGGATCCGCGCCTGTTGACCGCCCTGCTTTAACGGTAGCGTGCAAGCAGCCTCACGGGCATGCTATGAGCATATGGTATTCAATGTCACAAAATTAATATTCTGATTGGATTCCGAAGGACATATTATGAAAGTCTAATAAATCTTTCGAAGGTGAAATTACCTACGTCGGTCGGTCAGTAGAAACCAGCCCTAATATAATATACGTTAGCATCCCAAGAGCTGTTTCACATCTGAGCAGTGCCTACCTATACAAACACACCACATCATCATGATCTGTGCATTGAGTCTCGTGCTTGTTTTGGCAGTCTCCTTTGGAGAGATGGCCGAAGTCACCGACCTGACCGAGGAATGGCTCCAAGTGGTTAATGGAATATATAATCAATGGGATAGAGACAAAATCCTGGCTCGACATAACCAGTTCCGTAGTGAAGTACAGCCGCCCCCGATCCTCAACTTGTTGGCGGGAAAACTGCAACTGATATCCCCCTTTTTTCTTTCCCTTCTCTTCCTTCTATCTTACTTTTTGCTGGGGGGGGGGGGGTGGAGGCAACAGCCTGGGAGGCAAAGCCCTTTCGGCCCCCCGATCTCCTTTTTTCTCCTTTTCTTTTCTTTTCCTTTCCCTTTGTCTCTTCTTAACCTTTCCTTTGTTTTTAATTTCCTTCTTTCTCTCTCTCTCTCTTGCTGAAGGGGGAGGGGAGGATGGCGAAGGCCTTTCGTCCCGATCTCCTTCTTTTCCCCCTTTTCTTTTCTTCCTCTTCTTACTTTCCCTTACTCTCCGCTTTACCTTCTCTCTCTCTCTCTCTCTCTCTCCTTCTCTTAAGTTTTTGGTGGCGGTTGGGGTCAAGGCCCTCTCGCCCCCCCCCCCTGGATCCACCCCTGGAAGACCTGCAGTCAGGCGCGGATCCAGGATTTCCTAGGGGAGGGGGCCCAATTTTTTTTTTTGCTCCCGAAAATTCGAAAATCGCGCCGGCCGAAAAGTCGCTCAGTGGCCGGGGGGGGGGGGGGGGGGGGGTTAATGAGCACTATTTTTTGGCCCTCGAAAATTTAAAAATTTGCACCGTCTGTAAACAAATAAGATAAAAGGTGATACCCTTAATTAAGATCAAACTATAACATAATCCTCTATTAGTGACCTACCAGTGCTACAAATAAGGTATCAAAATATGCTCATCTGACCGTAATTAAGTGCCTAAAACCCCTTGACTTCCGGTGGCTCTGCCCCCTGGACCCCACCTAGGGCCCTAAGGCGGACGGCTGGATGCTAATCTGACGGTAATTTAATGCTTAAAACCCCTGAGCTTCTGGGGTCTCGGCCCCCTAGACCTCACGCCAATTAGTGTCCTGCCAGCCTGAGTGTCACAGATAAGGTATCAAAATATGTTTATCTGACCGTAAAAACCTCTAAGTTTCCGGGGCTCCACCCCCTTGACCCCACCAGGGGCCCTAAGGCGGGCCCCTGCATGCTTGTCTGACCGTTATAAAATGCCAAAATTTCCTGAGCTTCTGGGGGCTCCGCCCCCTGGACCCCACGCCAATTCGTGACCTGCCAGTGTCACAAATAAGGTATAAAAATATGCTCATCTGATCATATAATTTATTGCCCCAATTAAACCCCTGAAATTCCGGGGGATCCACCCCCTGGACCCCACGCCAATTTTTGACATGCCAGTGTCACAAATAAGGTATAAAATTATTATCATCTGACGATAATTTGATGTATAAAACCTTTAAACTTCTGAGGGCTTCGCCCCCTGGACCCAACACCAATTTGTGTCCTGCCAGTGTCACAAATAAGGTATAATATGCTCATCTGACGTAATTAAATGCCTAAAGCCCTGAGCTTCCGAGGCTCTGCCCCCCCCCCCGAACCCAGCCAATGGCCCTAAGGCGTGCCCCTGGATGCTCATCTGACAGTAATCCATTGCCTAACACCCTGAACCTCCGTGGGCTGCGCCTCCTGGACCCCACGCCAATTCGTGACCTGCCAGTGTCACAAATAAGGTATAAAAATATGCTCATCTGATCATATAATTTATTGCCCCAATTAAACCCCTGAAATTCCGGGGGATCCACCCCCTGGACCCCACGCCAATTTTTGACATGCCAGTGTCACAAATAAGGTATAAAATTATTATCATCTGACGATAATTTGATGTATAAAACCTTTAAACTTCTGAGGGCTTCGCCCCCTGGACCCAACACCAATTTGTGTCCTGCCAGTGTCACAAGTAAGGTATCAAAATATGTTCATCTGACAGTAATAAAGTGAATGGGGTGATGGGGATTTTTTTGTCTACCCCCCCCCCCCCCCCCCCCAAACTTTTTTGCCACTGCCGGTGTCACCTTTACGTACCAATATTTGGCTCGCATAATTTCAAATTTGCCCCCCCCCCCTTAAAAAATCCTGGATCCGCGCCTGTTGACCGCCCTGCTTTAACGGTAGCGTGCAAGCAGCCTCACGGGCATGCTATGAGCATATGGTATTCAATGTCACAAAATTAATATTCTGATTGGATTCCGAAGGACATATTATGAAAGTCTAATAAATCTTTCGAAGGTGAAATTACCTACGTCGGTCGGTCAGTAGAAACCAGCCCTAATATAATATACGTTAGCATCCCAAGAGCTGTTTCACATCTGAGCAGTGCCTACCTATACAAACACACCACATCATCATGATCTGTGCATTGAGTCTCGTGCTTGTTTTGGCAGTCTCCTTTGGAGAGATGGCCGAAGTCACCGACCTGACCGAGGAATGGCTCCAAGTGGTTAATGGAATATATAATCAATGGGATAGAGACAAAATCCTGGCTCGACATAACCAGTTCCGTAGTGAAGTACAGCCGCCCCCGATCCTCAACTTGTTGGCGGGAAAACTGCAACTGATATCCCCCTTTTTTCTTTCCCTTCTCTTCCTTCTATCTTACTTTTTGCTGGGGGGGGGGGGGGTGGAGGCAACAGCCTGGGAGGCAAAGCCCTTTCGGCCCCCCGATCTCCTTTTTTCTCCTTTTCTTTTCTTTTCCTTTCCCTTTGTCTCTTCTTAACCTTTCCTTTGTTTTTAATTTCCTTCTTTCTCTCTCTCTCTCTTGCTGAAGGGGGAGGGGAGGATGGCGAAGGCCTTTCGTCCCGATCTCCTTCTTTTCCCCCTTTTCTTTTCTTCCTCTTCTTACTTTCCCTTACTCTCCGCTTTACCTTCTCTCTCTCTCTCTCTCTCTCTCCTTCTCTTAAGTTTTTGGTGGCGGTTGGGGTCAAGGCCCTCTCGCCCCCCCCCCTGGATCCACCCCTGGAAGACCTGCAGTCAGGCGCGGATCCAGGATTTCCTAGGGGAGGGGGCCCAATTTTTTTTTTTGCTCCCGAAAATTCGAAAATCGCGCCGGCCGAAAAGTCGCTCAGTGGCCGGGGGGGGGGGGGGGTTAATGAGCACTATTTTTTGGCCCTCGAAAATTTAACAATTTGCACCGTCTGTAAACAAATAAGATAAAGGTGATACCCTTAATTAAGATCAAACTATAACATAATCCTCTATTAGTGACCTACCAGTGCTACAAATAAGGTATCAAAATATGCTCATCTGACCGTAATTAAGTGCCTAAAACCCCTTGACTTCCGGTGGCTCTGCCCCCTGGACCCCACCTAGGGCCCTAAGGCGGACGGCTGGATGCTAATCTGACGGTAATTTAATGCTTAAAACCCCTGAGCTTCTGGGGTCTCGGCCCCCTAGACCTCACGCCAATTAGTGTCCTGCCAGCCTGAGTGTCACAGATAAGGTATCAAAATATGTTTATCTGACCGTAAAACCTCTAAGTTTCCGGGGCTCCACCCCCTTGACCCCACCAGGGGCCCTAAGGCGGGCCCCTGCATGCTTGTCTGACCGTTATAAAATGCCAAAATTTCCTGAGCTTCTGGGGGCTCCGCCCCCTGGACCCCACGCCAATTAGTGACCTGCCAGTGTCACAAATAAGGTATAATTATGCTCATCTGACGTAATTAAATGCCTAAAGTCCTGAGCTTCCGAGGCTCTGCCCCCCCCCCCCACCCGAACCCAGCCAATGGCCCTAAGGCGGGCCCCTGGATGCTCATCTCACAGTAATCCATTTCCTAACACCCCTGAACCTCCGCGGGCTCCGCCTCCTGGACCCCACGCCAATTCGTGACCTGCCAGTGTCACAAATAAGGTCTAAAAATATGCTCATCTGATCATATAATTTATTGCCCCAATTAAACCCCTGAAATTCGGGGGATCCACCCCCTGGACCCCACGCCAATTTTTGATCTGCCAGTGTCACAAATAAGGTATAAAATTATTATTATCTGACGATAATTTGATGTATAAAACCCTTAACTTCTGAGGGCTTCGACCCCTGGACCCAACACCAATTTGTGTCCTGCCAGTGTCACAAGTAAGGTATCAAAATATGTTCATCCGACAGTAATAAAGTGAATGAGGTGATGGGGATTTTTTTTGGTCTACCCCCCCCCCCCAACGTTTTTGCCACTGCCGGTGTCACCATTACGTACCAATATTTGGCTCGCATAATTTCAAATTTGCCCCCCCCCCCCTTAAGAAATCCTGGATCCGCGCCTGTTGACAGCCCTGCTATAACGGTAGCGTGCATGCAGCCTCATGGGCATGCTATGAGCATAATTTGGTATTCAATGTCACAAAATTAATATTCTGATTGGATTCCGAAGGACATATTGAAAGTCTAATAAATCTTTCGAAGGTGAAATTACCTACGTCGGTCGGTCAGTAGGTAACCAGGCCTAATATATACGTTAGCATCCCAAGAGCTGTTTCATATCTGAGCAGTGCCTACCTATACAAACACACCACATCACCATGATCTGTGCATTGAGTCTCGTGCTTGTTTTGGCAGTCTCCTTTGGAGAGATGGCCGAAGTCACCGACCTGACTGAGGAATGGCTCCCAGTTGTCAATGGAATCTATAATCAATGGGATAGAGACAAAATCCTGGCTCGACATAACCATTTCCGTAGTAAAGTACAGCCATCTGCTGCAAACATGGTAGCTCTGGTAAGTTTTGTTTATATACGATACTTGCTGATCTTGCGACACTACTTGCTCTATCGAAACTTGCTCCTAGCCAATTTCCTATACTATCCGAATTCTTAACTTCAACACTGGACCAATTATCTCTAACCCTTAACCAACCACTTGCAAGATTTGCGGAGAGAGGCACACACACAATAATTGATTATAATCAGTGGCGGATCCAGGGGTGGGCCGAAACGGCCGCGGCCCCCCTTCCCTATTGGCGGCGCAAATAAATTGAGAAGGAAAAAAAGAGGAAGAAAAGAAGAGAAAAAGAGAAAGGAAAAGAAGAAGAAGAAAAAAAGGAGAAGAGAAAAGAAAGGAGAAGAAAAGTAAGAGAGAGAGAGAGCTCAACAAAGAGAAAGAAAAAGAAGACAGAAGCCGGAAGAGAAATACAACGAAATGGCACTAAGTGACAGTAACGACGAATAAGGGAAAGACTAGGGGGAGGGTGCGTGTGTGAAATGCGGGTGCATTGAGGGGGAGAGGGGTGACTGACCGTATTTTAATATTTAGGTTATGCAAAACTGAGTCGGAATTATGCTTATTTTCAAAAATTCTTAGCATGCTTGTTTATGTTAAGCCGTAGTGCATGAAAAGATTAGTGTAGAAACACTCTTCTGAAAAGGTCGCGCCCGGCCCCTCAAAGAGCGGCAGAATGGTAATCTAGAAATTTTGGGGTCATTCTCGAAGGCTTGGGAGCCGTTATTGAAGAGGGGGCCGGGCACACTCAAATGGCAGTGACCAGGGGTGTCGATTTGTATCCGTGGTTGGGGGGGGGGGGATGATAGGTGCCAAAATATTTTCGGCAATGGATCAAAGCAACCAAGAGGTAGAAGCGTGTGGCAGGTTGCACCCCCTTCCTTCCAAGTTATTAACTTTTTCAAGTCACCCTCAATAAAGATAACATTTCAGAGACTATAATGGTGGTAATAAAATTAATAATATGCTAAATGTTAGTCCTGACTTTTGCCTGGGGCGTCTCCAAAGGGGGGGGGGGTGGGGGATGCGACACACCCCCCCCCCCCCCCCACCTGTCAGGATATTGTCGGTAAAATTGCGCTGCCGTCGGAAAAAAAGAGAAAAGAGGGAGGGAAAAAAAGAGAGGGAAACGGAAAGAAAAGAAAAAAGAAAAGGAAAAGAGAAGAAAGAAAGGAAAAGAAAGAAAAGAAAGTAAAAGGGAAACAAAAGAAACGGGGGTGAAAGAGAGGAGAGAGAGAAAAGGTAAGAGCCTGAGAGAGGAGGAGTGGGAGTAAAAGAAAGCAGGGGCTTGTTGGGTCGAGTCGTCTCGTCGAGGGAGCAAGAAAGACACGGGTAAATATGTTGCTATGTCGGGTCAGCTGTGTCGGTATTCTTGCTCGATCCTCGTGTACTATATCAATGCAGAAGTTTGAAGTTGGTGAGATGTATATTGTCGGTCGGCCGCCAAGTTTTTTTCCCTACGAACTGCGACATTTTATCCGCTGTGACGACTTCGAGAGTGACTACAACTACAAAACTTGTATTTTCTCGAAGTTGGGGAAACTAAATTCTAACAAGGTTTAAGAGTCAACAACGGTACGACGAATCGTCTTCCTGTCTCTATATTGTGATGAAACGCCCCCCAAAATATCCGCCTTTCGCGCGGAGGGGAAAACTTCATTTAGACGAGTCGAGAACGGAATAACGAATTGTCTTCTTTCTCTAATAATTTAATGAAACGTCAAAACTTCCGCGCTTCGCGCAGGAGGTGGAAGCTTTATTCAGACAAGCATTAAGAGCCGAGCACGGTTCAACGAATCGTCTACTTTATCTAATAATTTAAGGAAACGTCAAAACCTCCGCGCTTCGCGCGAAGAGGGACAACTGAATTCAGATAAGAATTAAGAGTCGAAAACAGTACATCAAATAGGACTATTAAGAGTAGAAAACGGTACAAACGAATCGTCTTCTTTCTCTAATAATTTCATGAAACGTCAAAGCTTCCGCAATACAACAACAAATATGGAATATATAAAATTATTTACAAAATACTCTCAGAGAACACCTACCCAACGATGCATCGACCACAGCGCACATCCCCATCACACCGGGTGAGCTCACAAACTCAACGTGTGTGTGAAAATATGTATCATAATTATGTGCAAAAATCAATCCACCCATTGGAAGGCGATCTAATATGGACATCAATGAGTTATATGGTATATGTAAAGATGGGAAAGAAGAAGAAAAAAGAAAAGGGATCAAGGGGATTATGTCAAAGTCAAGAATTAACGAAAAAAAGATCAAGAGTAGAGTTAAATATGCTACAGTACACAAAAAATGAAGCTTGATAACACATTCATGTGTCATCGACATACTTGTGAAGAAAATATGACTTAAGTCTACGTTTAAAAACTGAGATACTTGAAGCATTTATTATGGTAGTATCAAGTGAATTCCAGAACCTGGGGCCAGTGGACATTAGTGTATTCAGAGTGAAGGTTGTCCTTACATAAGGTAAATGGAGAGCAGAAGCCTGTCTAGTATTATAGGTGTGAATTTGGTTATTTCTTCTCAAGATTTGAGCAAGGGCAGGAGGGAGGTCCCCAGAGTGAATGCTAAACATGAGCATTCCAAGTTGCATTGAATAGAGATCTTTTAGTTTTAGAATACCGTTTTCATAATAAAGTAGATATGTATGTGCACGATAATTCGCTTTACAAATTATTCTGATAACCCGCTTCTGCACAACGAAAAGCCTGTGGATTTGAGTTTTGGATGATTTGCCCCATGCTAACATACCATAATTAATACATGATAAAATAAGAGTAGAGTACAAAATGAACAATACCTCTTGAGGTATACATGATCTCAACTTATAAATAACACCAGTATTTTTTTACACCACTTTACTTAATTTGTCTACATGATTTTTCCAATTCAGTTTTTCATCTATGGATATCCCAAGAAATTTTGTTGAAGTAACTCTCTCAATTGGGTTATTATTAAATGCCACTTAACTGAATTACTGAACAGTATATAATTAGTTTTCTGAAGATTCAAGGATAACTTATTAGCATTAATCCACTTCATTACTTTTCGAAACTTGACCATTATCAGTTTTCAACAATGTTTGTGGACATTTATGAGAAAAAAATACACTTGAGTCATCAGCAAAAAATATGAATGATAATACACTTGATGAGCGTTGAAAATCATTAATATACAAGATGAATAAAAGTGGTCCCAAAATGGATCCTTGGGGAACACCACATGTTACTTTTTTTGGGGGGGGGGGGGCTAGAGTCAATTCCATGTTAGGGACACATATTGCTTTCTATCAGTAATATAACTTCTAAGCCAATCCAAGGCGACTCCCCTGACACCATAATGACATAATTTACTTAAGAGAATTTCATGGTCTACAGTATCAAAGGCCTTGGAAAAGTCTAAAAATGTACCGATGGTGTGTAAGCGACTATCTAAGGCAGAAGCAAGTTTATCTATAAGGTGTAAAATTGCATGCGTTGTTGTATGCTTCTCCCGAAAACGAAACTGATAATTACTGAAGACACATGTTTTGTTTAAAAATGTTATAGTTCTTACATAAATAATTTTGTTCAGAATTTTTGAAAAACAGGTTAACAAAGAAATCGGACGATAATTTGTCAGTAATTGAGAGTCACCTTTTTAAAACTTGGTACAACTTTTGCGATCTTCATGTTTATCGGTACAACTCCGCTTGACATAGACAAATTAAAAACATGAACTAGTGGTTAAAGGATACCGACAATAACTTGCTTAATAAGTTCGTTCCCAATATGATCATACCCAGGACTTTTCTTGTTCTTGAGGCCTCTTACAATACCAAGCAATTCTTCGTCATTTGTGGGCACCAGAAATAAATTTTGCATGTTAGGTTCTCCTAAGTATTCATGAAAATCAGTTTGACTGTTTGGAATATTTTTTTTCAGATTCGGACCAATATTACAAAAATATTCATTAAACAGAGCCCCTGGAAGTTCAGGGGTTTTAGGCATTTAATTACGATTAGATGAGCATATTTTGGTACCTTATTTGTGACATGCACTGAAACGCAGGTCACTAATTGGAGTGGGGTCCAGGGGGTGGAGCTCCCAGAAGCTCAGGGGTTTTAGGCATTAAATTACGATCAGATGAGCATCCAGGGGCCGCCTTAGGGCCCTTTAAAAGTGAAGTGTGAAAAAATGTACATGTAAGAGTTTCGATGTCTAGAGTTTATTATCATTTTGTGCAATATGTTGAATTAATCTTTTTCATTTCTTATCCCATTTCTGTTCCTTAATTTGTCATTTTTGGTGAATGTATTCTTTCATATAACTTTGAACAATGCAATTATGTAATTAAAAAAAATATATATATTATTCATTGCGGATGTAGTATCGAAAATAATATCGCTAGTTATATTCGTTTGTCGCAATGTTATGGTCAACAGGGGATCTAAAAGATCACGACGTTATTATTCGAATTATTTGACCGACGGTCCGCCCGTAGAATATAAAACACGCTCGCTTATTTTATCACCTGCCGAAGCGTTGCAGCGGCGCACGAAGCGTTGTGATTTTTTAGATCCCTTGTTGACCATACATTGCGAGACAAACAAATATCACTAGCGATATTATTTTCGATATGTAATCTTTGTCAGGCGCGTACGCAGGGGGGGGGGGTTGAACCCCCCCCCCCCCTTGGTATTTTTTATGTGTGTATTTTGGAAGAAACCCCCCCCCCCTTTGGTTGGGTTTTTTTTTTTAATTATTTAAAAAAATATTTAAAAATTATGCCAATGGCTGACCTAAAAAAGGTGACCTTACCCCCCCCCCCCCCGCTTATTCAGCGGCTGGCTGAGTCGTTGCGAAATTTTCAGCCCGATTTCAAAATTTTAACCCCCCCCCCTCCCCCCTTGAAAAAATCCTGCGTACGCCAACGATCTTTGTTTGTATCAATCTTTATACTTTTTTTAAAACCTCATTTACTTTCAATGACGCGGCATAAATGAAAAATAAAGTATCCTAATATTGCCTCGTTCTCTGGTTACAGCAATGGAGCCATGACCTTGCAGGTCTTGCGCAGAGGTGGGCTAACCGATGCGACTTCGGCTTTAACTTCCGAAGTCTGGTAACAGAATTTAGTAGTGTAGGCCAGAACATCGCCCAGGTGTATGCCGGCACTCTTGATTCTATAATGGATTCGTGGAATAACGAGAAGGCTGATTATGACTTCGAAACCAACACCTGTTCCGCATTCTGTGCCCACTACACTCAGGCGCGTACGCAGGGGGGGGGGGTTGAACCCCCCCCCCCTTGGTATTTTTTATGTGTGTATTTTGGAAGAAACCCCCCCCCCCTTTGGTTGGGTTTTTTTTTTAATTATTAAAAAAATATTTAAAAATTATGCCAATGGCTGACCTAAAAAAGGTGACCTTACCCCCCCCCCCCGCTTATTCAGCGGCTGGCTGAGTCGTTGCGAAATTTTCAGCCCGATTTCAAAATTTTAACCCCCCCCCCCCTCCCCCCTTGAAAAAATCCTGCGTACGCCAACGATCTTTGTTTGTATCAATCTTTATACTTTTTTTAAAACCTCATTTACTTTCAATGACGCGGCATAAATGAAAAATAAAGTATCCTAATATTGCCTCGTTCTCTGGTTACAGCAATGGAGCCATGACCTTTCAGGTCTTGCGCAGAGGTGGGCTAACCGATGCGACTTCGGCTTTAACTTCCGAAGTCTGGTAACAGAATTTAGTAGTGTAGGCCAGAACATCGCCCAGGTGTATGCCGGCACTCTTGATTCTATAATGGATTCGTGGAATAACGAGAAGGCTGATTATGACTTCGAAACCAACACCTGTTCCGCATTCTGTGCCCACTACACTCAGGTAAGTTTCAAAGCTCAAAGCCTTTTTTAGCCGTTGAAAATACATACAATTAACAACTAATTTATATATAATCATACCCTTACCATTAAAGTTAGGTCGTTTTTAAGAATGTGATTTTTTTTCTCCTGATTTATGTTTCTTTAAAATATGACACATTAATTACAGCTAAAAGTATTCAACAAAGGCCCTAATTCAACCAGTCCTCCTTTTATTCTTGAGTCACGAAAAATACACAAAACATTAAATTGACAAGGGGTTTGAAATTGAATAATTTAACTGTATGTTGGTAGCATCCTTTAAAAAAAAAAGCTTACGACGACGATGATGGAAATGATGATGATTATGATCATAATTATTATTATTGTTATCAACATCATTAATTTTTTTTATCATTATTATCATCATCATGTTTATTATTTTATACAAATTATTATCATTTTAATTACTATTGTTATTATCATTATTATAAGTAGTAGACCAAGTAGTAGTAGTCGTAGTAGTTGTTGTTGTTATTGTTGTCTTTGTTTTATTTTCATTACCATTTTTTTCATTTTGGTATAGATGGTGTGGGCTACAACCTCTTTCATAGGATGTGGCAGGGCTGCATGTCCACCGCATTCATTGTACCGTCCTGACACGTACATCGTCTGTAATTACGGACCCGGGTAATTCGTTGTCATCATTGCATGGTCATTGTTCCCATTTTGCTCGGGATAGTTACATACACACACACACGCACACACACATATGAATTCAAGTACGCAATAAATGATGAAGAGAGAGAACCGTTTATATTATAGGTTACGTGACCTAATACAACTGTTGGTCTAAAGGCATTAGTCTTCTCTATCTTCATCATTTTTTGCGTAGTTGTTTCTAAAAATATTTAGAGCCTATATATATTTATATATATATATATATATATATACATGTATTTGCAGGCGCGGATCCAGGATTTCTTAGGGGGGGCCAAATTTGGATTCAATTTTAAAATTTAGTGTGCTGAAATTTGAAAATCGTGCCGGCCAATATTTCGCTCATAGGTGACTTTAGTTCATAAAATCAAAACAAGTTGGTCGAGTTGTCCGGATAGAGTGACACCCTAACAACTAGACCCAGACGAGTTGTCCAGGGCCTGGTCGGGTTATCTGTGGTCGATCTGTCCGTTGGGCGGGCTGTCATGCAAGAAGCACATAGAGACATAATGTATGTATACTCTAAAAAAAATCGAGTGATCACGGACGTCACTCCTCTGGAGAGTGAAAATGTAGTGAAAATGGAGTGAACATTCACTCTTTTCTTCTTAGAGAGCACTCTTATTTTAGACTAAAATCAATCGATTTTCACTCCTAAACAAGTGATCACGGACGTCACTCCCAAGAAAGTAGAAAATAGAGTGAAAATTCACTCTCTTTTTTAAAGAGAGTACATAATTATACAAATACTTTATTATGGAAATCGTCCATCCGTCATGGTTAAAGAAAACAAATGAAATAAAGATCCTTGTGAGTTTCAATTCACTATTACCGGTTTCAATTAATTTCGTCAGATAGTGAATTCAACATCACAAACAAGTGCAACAAAGTGTATACAAATAAATGAGTACATGACTGTGTACATTGCGTTGAAATGGCACATTGCGTGGGAATGGAATTAAATTATTATATATTGTTACATCATAGTCGTAATCATATCATATTTATCTTTCTCTATTTTGTGGAAAATATATATCGAAGAGACAAGAGATATGTTAATTAATAGAATGATACATAATTGTCAAAACGTCAGAAAGAAAAAACAAATACTTACTGTAAAGTAAACATATATATCAAGATGTGCAAAATAAAAAAATGAAACAATTTGATGCTATATATACAATTCTATAAATTAAGAACATGAAACTAAACTAAAAGGTAACCCCCCCCCCCCCCGCTTCCCCTAAGGAAAAGTACAATGCATTTTATAAAAATGTCAACCACATCTGAACAATTTTTAATTAAAAATAGTGAAGAATGATGGGATTATTAAATAAAACTTGTAATTTATGACTTAAAGTCTTGATATTGAATGGTTCTTTTACTATCTTCCAGAGGTAATGTGACCCATCGCCCATACGAATCAGGTGTGCCCTGTTCTAGTTGCCCTGATAGTGAAGGAGATACATATAGCTGCGAGAATAATCTTTGCACCTGTAAGTATTCAATTCAATTTAGTTCAATTCAATTCAATTCAATTCAATTCAATTCAAGGTTTATTTCAAGGTACTAAATCCCATTTGCAGGCCAAAAATAATGAAAAGGTTAAATTTCAACGGCATTTGAAAGATAATACTAATTTAGAACTTCCCTAAAAAAAGGGTGCTTGAAAACTGCTTTAAGTGGGAAAATAACGACTAATAGTAGTCAAATCGACTTAAGAGCTATAGAGCCAGTAAGTAATAGTCTGATTTTCAGACCATTGTACCGAATGGTCATACGTTTTATGCTGCGCAAAGATTCAATCACTTTAATTTTGGCCATTACAAGAAGTGGGTTATTGATGTAGACAAATGATCATGTACCCTTTACAGCTCACTTTATGTATGTTAATACCAAAGAAGGAAAAAAAAGCTAGTCAGTCACTCAATAGTGTCTGACAGCGAAGTCTAGCAAGTAAACGGGTTTCCTTGCTAACGTTTAAATTTCACAGATAGGTCATCCGTGACATATTCATAATTCCTGCAAAGTTCTACAGAATTTGATGTTGGCTGCAAAAGGGACATAGTATCTTTAAAGGGGAAGTCAACCCTAGTATATCAGAAAAATGAGACAAATAAATTAGTGAAATTTTGAGCAATATCCGATTAAATTAGAAAAGTTATGAATTTTTTAAGTTGTCATCAGTGATGGCAACACTGTGACATATCGTGCGAGCTCCTCTCTAATTCTCTCTGTACAGAAAATTTCATAAATTGTCACTTTCTTAGTTATTGATGACAGAATATTAAGGGTTATACGGGGGTTGTATTATTGACACATTTGCAATAATTATATTTAGGGTGAATGTAATATGATTGAACATTTTCTGAAGGGAAGATATCATTTTTTGATTTTATTTTTTTAGTATTACCATGGACCTACTACAAACAGGGCAAATTGGAAGGGACCTCGCAAGATACCTCACAGAGTTGTCAATTTGTATTTGATTTGATACTTCTAATCCGTTTTTGCTCATACTTTCACTGACATATTTCTTTTATTTTTCTGCTTCTATTAAAACCAATTCAATATCAGGGTGGACTACCCCTTTAAACATGACTGGTAGTCACAAACTGAATTGTACATGTTTCTACAGTGCAAGTTAAATACAATATTTATACAAATTGCAGCAATAAGAAAACATGTAGAATAGAAAGTAATAGGTACATGAAATAGATATCATTAATGAAAATGTAATACAAAAGCAAATACATGACTGTTAAATGCATGAGCATTGCATCCAATTACCTCGCTGCTCTCAGTGTAAACATATTGCACGATAATAAACAGGACTAGGTCCAAAAAAAATGGAAGGGTGTGTGATGGAAAGAAAAGAAGACTGTAAGCAACCAAACAGGAGATATAAGATACCGAATGGAAGGAAGAAAGACAGTGGTGGATTCTATATGAAACAGGAGAGAGAGAGATTCATTTATACCCATTTACACCGGGGCACCGTTTCATAAAACTTACAACTAATGTTAACTTTGCCCTTAAATCATATTGTTGTAATACGTGGTGGATGCATTCGTTGCGTTTTATTTATCTTCTCGTAATCTTTTTTGTTTTAGTGGGCTAAGGGCTTGGCAACGCTGACATGACAACGAGATTGGACTGAACTCCCCAACTACAACACGTCCAAAGGACCTGATTACATTTTTTGAGTTTTACTTCTACTCATCTTTACTTCGCAACTCATAATTCGGAATAGTGGGAATCGTATAAAAGTCTGTTCAGATATAATGCGGTAATCCGCCGCACAAACCGCGGCGGATTAGGTGTAAGATGGTGGTTGTGGTTTACTTCGATTAATACAGTGTTAGTCAAAAAAAAGTTTACACCTAGAAAATTGCTAATTATTTTAAAAAATCATCTATGAACAGTAAATTATTTATCTGATGAAAGAGTGTTTTATCCCGAATCATTTGGTATCATTTTTGTGGGGTATGTGTTCACGCTTGGATGAACAGGAGGCATTTTTTGCGTGAGTGCAAAATTCGACTTGCGCCAAAGTTGCTTATGTGATGTCACATAAAAACAATTTGGATTTGGGTATTAATTCGGTCTTTGCAGATCCACATAACATTCCTAACAAAATTAATCATGCCACACATATTAGATATCAACGAACATTTTGTGCGCGCGTGTGTGTATGTGACTTTGTTTTTGCAAAACGCATATGCAATCCATTTCATTTGATACATTAAATTCATTCTCTCACTCCACTAATCCGAAGATAATACATACTGTAGGCATCACTTTGGCACAAGTCGATTTTTGCACTCTCGCAAACAATGCCTCCTGTTCATCCCAGCGTTAACACATACCACAAAAAAAAGATACCAAACGATTTGGGATAAAACACTCTTTCATAAGATGTATGATAATTTACTGTTCATAGATGATTTTTAAAATAATTAGCAATTTTCTAGGTGTTAACTTTTTTTTTACTCACACGGTATAGAGGGCTTCTTTTGATTTTTTATTTCGAAATCTGTGTTGGTAATATCTTTAATTTTAAAGCATTACATACTGCATTCTATTCAACATTGTCTTGAAGACTGCAATGCTGTTTGCAGACATGGGAATTCTGGTCTTGTTTCTTAATCTTTACCGTTAATGTCTGTGTGACTATTATTTGTTTTTATTTGATGCTCTTTTACTTTTGTACCATTAATTAAATCATGAATTTTAGTTTTCATTTCATCGTTGAAAGACAATCTTTATTATTATCCTTGGCATATAAGTTCATTTCCTAAATTCAATTGTAAACTTAAACTTCTTCTAAAATGAGGAATTCTTCTGTCAAAGTCTAAGTGTGTGAACCAAGTTAAGTCACAAACGGTAGGCCTATACTCGCCGTGGGCCGGGAGCGGCAGGGAGGACGTTTCTTGAAATCAATCAAAGGGCCCTTGTATATACGCAGCGCATGAGGCGGTAATAGAAACGTCAAATTTAACTACTATATGGAGGGGAATTTTTCTTTCCTGGAGGGGCCGTTATAAATAGGCAATTTGTGCTTAAAAATAGGCAAAAACAGGATTATAAGCACCAGAAGGGGCCGGGGGCGAAATTTTTATTCCCAAACAGGTTGGCAATTTCTTATATTTCCGTTCTTCTCAATGGCTGATATGTTCTACGTCATTAGCAGCTTGGAAAGAGGTCACAAACAATTAGACTTTGATTTTTTATTGCTTTGCCTCACTATTTATAAAGGCAAAAAAAACTGTATAAACTGAGACTTGAACCCACAACTCTAAGATTGTATTACGCTGACCTTACCGATTGAGCCAACGATAGGTTAATAAAAAGTGATTTCTATAACCCTATCACTCACCCGAACGGTTACGTCATTGCTAATGACGTAACATATCAGCCAATCAGATGACCGGAAATATTAGCATAAGCAAACTGTTTGGGAAAAACAAAATAGCGGCCGGCGAGGGGGGGGGGGGGGGTAGGCAATGTTCAAAATCTAGAAGGAAAATGTTTCGCAAGTAGACCTCATAAATCAAGTAAACCCTTTGTAAAATCGGTTATTAATAAGTTGCCCACGTTATAAATCCGTCAACCTTGTTTGAATGGCTAAGTTCTATCCTATTTAAATCATTGATATTAAATGAATGAATTTTAATCCATAAAATTTGTCATTAAATTTTGACCTGAATATTCAACCCTCTCTTAAAGGGAAATTTGGTGGAGTTATTTATAATCTGTCATTTGATACACTTGTTTGTTGTATTTCTTCTGAATAAAAAGTTGGTATAAAGGGAAACAATTAAATGTCTTTGTATATTTGTTGAGTTATGTTCCATTTTTAAGTAGGCTGAGAGGCAAGGAAATGTCCATATTTCTTTCCCCAAAGAATGAAAGACCTTGTCAGTGGTAAATATGCGTTTTAATGCGTCGGCGTTTACATGAACCGTCGAATCCGTCGATTTTTGGCAAATTTTTCAAAATATTTTTTTTTTCCATAATTGTGTTGATTGTTATGATATCTTTCTACTGACAAATTTTCAGATGCTGATTTGAGATATTTTTTGACAAAAACATATTTATATTTTTACTAAAAACGAAACGTTGCGCGGAGCGTTTGCATGAACCGACGAATCCGCATTCGACGGTTCATGAAACCCGCCCTCCTTCAATTCTAGCAGACGATGAACCGTCGAATCTGTAGCATCGTCTGAACGGGATGTAAAAATTGGTAAGTAAACTGTGTTTCGTGTACCTAGTTGGACTTTTATGAGATTAGATGCATGAATTTAATGAAAATCTGAAGTCGCTGCTTAAATTATATCAATTTATAACACATTTAAGCAGATATTTCGAACTCAAAACTCTGATTGTCCCACCTGTTGATTTAGATGTTAGTAAATCTAGAGATTTAGATAAAATCAATTTCAATGGACAATGGACAATATAGGTCCAAGTCGAGACGGACGATTGTTCGTACTATGAATCTTTTTTTCTTTCTATTTATCCTCTTTCGAGGGACTTTATTTGTTCATATCATAAAATAACAGCTATTTACAACAGTGTTTAAATACAAAATTCATGCAATTGTAACATATCATACATAGTACAGAACATGAAACTAATGTGACATAATAACTAACTAAAATAATGAAAACATTTTTGTAACTTTTGTAACTTCGTTTGTATCGAGTTTCTTTTGATTACATTTCATATTGAGATAGGTGCGAATTTCCACCTTTAATTCTTTTATCCAATATACAGCATGTTTCCTGTGCTTTTCACTTCCAAAACATTCTCTAATATAGTTCCTATAGATAATAAACTGAGCGAAGTTTAAAATAAGATTGACAAGATTCATTTCTCTTCTCTCTATTTCATGACCTATTAAAAGAATTTCTTCGTTCAAAAGGATTTTAAAATTAAACAAAGTATCAATTAATTTGGATACAATCTTCCAAAAAAGCGAAACCTTCTTGCAAGCCAGGAGAAGGTGGTTAGTTGTGTCTGGAATCTTACATATATCACATAGATTATTATTTTTAATCTTCCATTTACATAAATTGTCTTTACTGGGCAATATTCTATGAAGATATTAAAATTAAACTGCTTAATTCTGTTGTCATTTATAAAGTAAAATTTATAATGGAGCAACGTTTTCCAGTTAAACTCATTGGGTAAATCAAAATAAGCGTTCCAAAAATAAATGCACGGCAGATTCTGTCTATTTTTTACTAACATCAAATTATAATAGTGTTTGGCTTTCATGACCGCTACATCAATGGAGTCACCTGTTACTATTTCTATTGTACTGGATTCCACTGCAGACGGTGGACTATTTACATATTGTAACCTATTACGTAATTTCTGCAACCAAAAATTCGGGAATGCACTTTTTAACTTTGCCAATTTGAAGGCGGAAAGTAATTCATTTTCTTGAAAATTAATACAAATAGAATCAACTTCTTTCCAGATACCGTTAACTAAGACTTGTTTCACTTTAAAAATATTGTTTCTCATCCAGTTTGGAAAATACAATAACTCATTCATAGCTTTAATATTGCTATTATACCAAATCATTTCATTTTCAATATCTGTTACTTTAAACATATCAATATATTTTAATTCAGCCCAAGAACAAAACATGTCAACATAAAAGTTAGGCAACTGTTTTTTTCTACAAATACGATACATATCGCTCTTTTTGCAATTAAAATGCAAACAAAGTGGCAAATCCCCAATTTTCTTGATCCAATATTTAAACAAAATTTTCCAAGCACTTTGTTCATCTCTTAAATATTTATGAATCCATGAAAGACGGAGTGACCGGCATTTTGACTCTAAGTCGATCATTCCCAACCCCCTTCTACTTCAGGATTGTGACAGATGTTTCGTTTCACCTTTTCTGTTTTAGAATTCCATAAAAATGTGTAAGCCAGTTTATTTATACGTTTAATTATTTTAGAAGGGATCGGAACTGCCGTGGCAGTATGTACTATCTGAGACATAACTAAATGTTTAATCACAACAACTTTTCCGTACAATGTAAGTTTTCTCATTTTCCATAAATCCAAGGTATTCTTTATTTTCTCTACTTTACTTTCCCAGTTTAAATTTTGAACGTCAAAAGAATTTTTACCTACATAAATACCAAGACATTTTATAGGGTCTTCAGTGAAATGTAAATCTTCAACTTCATCGTCATTTATATTAAGTTTCATAAGATTTGATTTGGTCCAGTTAATTTTTGGTCCCGCATGTGCTCCAAACAGTGCTACTTCTTTCATTATTTCTTTAACAAATTTTACAGATCTAGTAATAATCGTCGTATCGTCTGCATATTGAACGATACGTATATCTTTAAAATCAGCTTGATCTTCATTGAAGTCTGGGACTTGGATTCCCTCTATTTTGGCGTTTTGTTTAATTCTTTTCCCTAAAACCTCTGCAATTATTATAAATAAAAGTGGAGAAAGTGGGCAACCTTGCCTAACGCCTCTTTCTATTGCAAATTTGTCGGATATCCAACCAAAATTTAAGACACGACCATGAGCACCATTATATAACGTTTCAATCCATCTTAAAAACGAATCTTTAAATTTAAGTTCCCGTAACAAGGACAATAAAAAAACATGACCAATGGTATCGAACGCCTTTTTAAAATCCAAGAACATCATAACAACTGGTTTGTTTGCAAAAAGACAATAATCAATAGTATCCTGAATTAGTCTGGTACATTCAG